TCAATGAGCAGCCCATATTTAGCACCAGAGTTGGGGCACCCACACACTGCATTTCCTCCAGGCCACCTATGTCTGCAGGCCCAGCCTGGCTCTCCACTGCCCAGTGGAGGTCCTGGGGCCTTTGGAAAGAGCAGAGCTGTGGCCACCACCCACATAGCAGAACTGTCCCAAGGGTACACTCAGCCCTCACAGTCCAGCCTCCCAGGGCACTGCTGGGAACCAGAGATAAATGCCAACTCAGTGACCTCAGGGATGTGTCAATGGGGGAGGAAGGGTTGGGTGCACAAATAGGAAGCTACACAGAGCAAGCACTGTTCAAAGAGGAGCCCAGAGCCCCACACAATCACTAGAACTATCCAGAAAACCCCTTGAAAGCAGTTAATGGGCAGAAACCCCATGAACACCCACAAGAAGAAACAGGTAGATCCACACAGACAGGTTAGGGGTGGAAACCCACCCTCAGAGAAATATGCCCTGGCACACTCATTCCTGGGCACAGGATGCCTATAGGCTAACTATGCATCCAGCCCCTATGACATGTGGATTGTGTCAGTCGGGACCCTCAGAGGCTGCCTTTACAAGCATGTATGGAAATGTCATGATAAATCCCCCTTATATATACATTTTAAGCCAATTTTTTAAAAAAAGTTTGTGAAAACACAATCACATGGGGCAGCCTGGGGAACTGGAAGGCTGGCATCTGGAGTCTAGCAACACATCAGTGCCCACCAAACTGGAGGGAGACCTGAGAGGTGGTGGCTCCAGAAACTAGTGACTTAACCATTAATAATCTACTCCCCTCAAGCCCAGAGCTGATTTGCATGCTAGTGAAAATTTTAAAACCAGAGGTGTGGGGCTCAGTGCCTGAGGGATGTCCCCAGAGCCAAGGTCAGTGGGGGGAAGAGAGGGAGGAAAGCGATGTGAGGGGCATGGGGCTGGGAGAGGCAGGGAAGTGAGGCTGTGACAAGAATCAGTAAATGATAGAATGTTCCACCTGGATGGTACCTTCAAGGCCACCAAGTCCCAAGACTTCATTTGCATATGAGAAAAGTGACAATCAGGAGGATTTATAAAAGAGGAATGAAGCAAAAGAAAAGAGAAAAGAAAGGAGAGGTGAGAAGAGGAGAAAAAACAGATGTAAGTAGGCCACCACAGTTAACCAGACCCAAGTCTGTCTACTCACCTTTTGAAAGCCTATACTAAGGAGAGTTGGTGGCAAGGAACTCATGTTTAATCAAGGGCAGCCCTGAAAAGGTGAAGGGGTACCATGTTGGGGAGCTCAGGTAGGTGAAAGAGTTTTTATGAAAAGAGAAAGGACATACAGTGGGACATAGAACCAGAAGGCTGTGTGTTGAGTTGAGCAGGTTCTTCCTAATCTACAGAATGTTCCCCCAGCCAGAACACTGGACTTTGACCTTCTGGTTCTTTAGAAAAACATATTGCTTTTCTGTGCAATAAACTTCACAGTAATTGACATGCTTTGTGTTCATTGATGCACAAGACTGGATAAGGAGGGGTGTTACCATTCTGGTGTTATCTAAAGGTCACCAGATGTTCTGATTTCTATAAGTCCATAAAAAGATTATTTAGCAGTTAATATCTTAATCATTTAGGTGTGGCTTTTCTCTAGAATTTAGAATGCTGAGCAAAGGGAAAGGAAGCAAAAGTAACTCAGCCAAGGATAATTTCCACTGTTAATACCCATGGCTTTGCACCCCTGCAGCCTTTGCCCCCTGGTCTTCTGGGCCTTACCAGCCTCCCTCCCCACAGTCATCCTGCAGCCATGCCAGCCAACCCAGCCTTCCTTCCAGGGCTGCTACCCAGGGAGGAACTGAGGTCTGGGGAGAGCTTGGGCCAGGCAGGGCCAGATGCCCAGGGCCTCCTGCAAGAGTGGGATAGTGCTGATGTACTTGTCTTCTTGCTTTTTCATTTGTTTTATGAACACATCTCCCCTTTTCTCTAATTAGGTGCAACAAACAACTTGAACCAGAATTTTTATTTCCAGAAAAGCACCCGCCTGGACACAGTAAATATGTCATTAATCATCATTCGAAGTGGAGGAGCACACTGAGTTGGGGAGGAGGGGAAGCAGTCAGAGGGTCTAATTAGAGCTCGGCCTCCCTGCTCTCCTCACACCAGCTCTCCTCCCACCAGCTCCCCTCCCACCTACCGCCACCCACATGAGCCCACTCCTGCCACCATGCCCAGGACCCACCAATTGGAGGGTTTCTGGATACAGTCAAACTTACGTAAATGTCCCCTGTTAGCACTTTAGAAAAGTAAAGAAAGGAGATGAGAAGAACAATACCACCCCTTTCCCTCCTCCTCTCCTCCCCTCACCCTACCCGGAGGTCTTATTTTCATCCAGGAAATTGTTCTTATTATCACTTAGCTATTTATAGATGTGGTGAGGTCTGCTGAACAGCCCCAAGCCAACACAGCAATGCTGTACCACTGCAGCTCCTTCCCCAACTGGTTTTGGTTTGGGGCAAAACTGTGGTTCCCCCCAACCCCTCTTGGGGGTCCTCCAGTTGAGCACCCTGGCTGACCCAAAGACTCTCTCCACATAGGCTACTTGGACCTGACCCTTGCTACATCCCTCTCCCTCATTCCCTCTGCCCAGGGGTAGGGCCACCGCCCTCCTCCCAGGAAAGAAAGTGCTGTAAGGCCTGCCTCAGGCCACTAGAGTCTGAGTCCAGCCAGTTTTACACAGTGTGGGAAAGAGTCCAGGGCCACTACTCTGACTCTGTCACTGTCTGGTTTGGCCCAAAACAGGATGTAATGGTCTAGACAGAGGCTCAGGCCTGGTTCTCTCAGTCCCAGAGGCCACAGCTTAACCCTAAGTTGAGAAGGACCATGCTGAGCTGAAGACCCAGAGGATGGGGTTTGGCCGACCAGCTCAGTAACTAACCTCAAAGGGCTTAATGGCTGTTTGCACCCACAATGCCCAAGTCATAATAACTGCCCTCTAGCATCTCAACAAGGCAGGTCAGAGGGTTGGGGCTAAGGAGTCCCTAATTCTTAAGTATGAATCCCAGCTCTGTCTGGCAGGTTCCTGACTCACTTTGAACTCAGTTTTCTCTTGCAAAATAAAGATAATGTCCCCTTCCTTCCAGGGCCCCTGTGAGAGTGAGAAACAATGCCCTAATTATTTTATGGTTGGTCTCAAGGAAGTAGAGTCATCTATTCCCTGGTTCCAGTTGGGGTGAAACTAGACTGCATCTGGCACCCCTTCCCTAGAGGCAATGAAGTCCCTGCCCAGAACACAAGTCTTTGAATACCAAACAGATGCCATTCCCCACCTGCAGTGGCCCTCCACCCACATATCCTCCCCAGCATACAACTACCTTAGTGGGCCCAAACTGATGGGGAGGTTGTAGAAAAGAGGCAGAAGAAGGGAAGAAAATAGCAGCCATAATGGGAGAACTTGCTACAAGATGACATTGTGGTCCAGCAGGAAAAAGGAATGACCTTGGAAGAGAGGACCTGTGTTCATTTCCTAGGGCTGCCATAACAAAACACCTTGGTGTTTAAGCACAACTTGGTGCTTAAAACAATAGAAACTCAAGGGTATGGTGACTCATGTCTATAATCCCAGCACTTGAGAAGCAAAAGCAAGAAGACAGAGAGTTTGAGGACAGAGAGTATGTAGCCTAGGCTACATAGCAAGACCCTGTCTAAAAACAAAAAAAGCCAGGCACCAGTGACTCACGTCTATAATCCTAGCTAATCAGGAGGCAGAGATCAGGAGGATCACAGTTCAAAGCCAGTCCGAGAAAATAGTTCATGAGACCCTATCTCAGGAAAAAAAAAAATCACAAAAAAGTGCTGATGGAGTGGCTCAAGGTGTAGGGCCTGAGTTCAAATCCCAGTACCACAAAAAAAAAGTCCCCCAAAACAGAAATTCATCTCTCAGTTGAGGAGACCAACAAGCATGAAATCAAGGAGTTAGCAGGGTCATGCAGCCTCCAAAGGCTTTAGGAAAGAAGACTTCATTGCCTTTTCTAGCTCCTGGTGGCTCCCAGTGTTCCTTATTTTATGGCAACGTCACTCAATCTCTGCCTCCATCAAAACATGGCCTTCTGATTCTCTCTGTCTCCTCATCTCCTCATCTGAGGACACCAGGCATTCAATTTAGGGTCCTCCCTGAATCCAGAATTATCTCACTTTGAAATCCTTAACTAGTTCATAATTAACCAATCACAGATTGCCAAATAAGCTCACATTCTATCACTGAGCTACACCACCAGCTCCAAGGTCACATTCTAAGACTCCAAACAGACCTGAATTTGGGGAACACTGGTTAGGACCCTAAGTGCTTGCTTTATCACCACCTTGGTCAAGTTCCGTTACCTCACTCAGTCTCACCTACTCTCCTCCTCCATCATATGGAAAACAGTGGGAGCACTACTGAGATGAGGAAGTGAAGTATTTGGAAGTTGAGAGGTTTATATAGGAGAATAACCAGAGGTGGGTATACATGGGTTCTGTCTGCATCTTTAACCTCCCCTGCCCTTACCACCACACCCCTACCTGCACCCCCTACTGCAGACTCACTGCCTAGAGGCCACAAGCACCCGGCTACAAACCTTCTCCTTGCTTCCTGCAGAACTTGAGCCTCTCCCAGACAGCAGAGGCAGAAAAGATGCCAGCTCATTTCTACAGAGGACCTTCCTGAAGACTGGTTTCCATTAGCCCCAGCCTGGTTTTGCTGTGCTTTGGGCTCGCAACTCTAGACTGAATCTCACACACAATGGCAGTCTTTCTAGCTCCTTTTTCCTTCCACAGTCCAGCACTCAACCAGGCCAGTGAGCCAAGGATGACTCACCTCCCACCTCTATGTGGAGACTGCCACCCCTGGTCTCCTGAGCTGACCACATGGATACATCCCATCAACACTGTCTCTTGTCTCTGAGCTGGAGCCTGTCTTCCCATTATGCATCTAGGCTATCCCAGCCCAATGACACGGGCCTTCTATCCCGCTCTACCTCCCCCTCCAGACCCTGCTTCGTGATGGCAAGCGTGAGAGCATCGTCAGCACCCTCTTCATTTCCCCTGGTGATGTGGAAAATGGACAGAGCATCGTGTGCCGTGCCACCAACAAAGCCATCCCTGGAGGGAAGGAGACCTCAGTCACCATTGACATCCAGCGTGAGTATTGACTGGATTAGTATATCTTTGAAATATTGGCCTCAAGAGGGGAATTTTTTCTTCTCAGTTGCCCCTCCTGAATGTGTAGGACAATGCCACTGTGTTCTAGTAGCCACTTGGTTGCAAGCTCAAGTGACATGGCTACAGCTGCTTTGGCATTCATGTGTTCCTTTGCGTTCTATTCATTTTGGAGCTAAAGCATTTTTAACACCTCTGGCTCATCTAGGACTTCTGGACTCTGAGCTCCACTTGATTCTCTAGGATCTGGAGTCCAGAAAGACTGAGTCTTAGGATTCTAAGAACCTATCTTGGCAGCCAGAGGGAAGTTCCCCTTGTCCAGAATCCTGCCTAAAAGCTAGCAGAGTGGCTCAAGTGGTAGAGTGCTCGCCTAGCAAGCACAAGGCTCTGAGTTCAAACCACGAACATACATGTACACACACAAATCCTGACCAAAACCATTTAGATTCCAGAGGGAGAAAGATGTGGCGTGTCAGGTAGCTGCTTAGTGAAATGGCAAAGTTCTTGAGAAGGCTCTGCTTTACTATCTTGCCACCTGCTAGTCACAAACTCCCTGACCCCACACAAACCCCAAGGCTTCTTCTTGCATTCTTCATTCAGTGGGAGCAGGACAGAACAATTCTTGCAAAACTAGGGCTAGGAAGATGAGGGAGGCACCTAGGGCCTTCCTCTGTTGGTCACATAAGCACAAAGGGGCCCTGAGAGAAAGGGCTTCCTTAAAATTTGCACTCAGTGTTCCCTTCCATAGTCTTATTCTGACTTGAATATCACCTATTTCTGCCCAGTGAGAGGTGAACAGTTGTGGCATGGAGCATAGGCCCAGCTCTGGAGAAGAGGTAAGATGCTGTCTGGCTGGTGGAGAATGATTCGACCACCATGAGCTGGATGGGCCTAAGTTTGTCACTCACCCCAGGAACACCAGTTCCTTGTCTGATTTGACTGATGATGTCCAAGGTCTCTTCTTGCTCTAGGATTGATCATGTATAAGAGCTCTCTCCAGACACAAGCCAAATCTGGAGGGAGTGAGGGTGAGAGACCCAAGATGTCCAAGTCCTCTACTTCCAGGCTGCCATTTGTGGCTACTATGTGGCCCCCATATCCTCCTTCCCCTTGTTCCCAACCTGGACAGGAGGCCCATGCCAGCTACAGAATCCTGCACAAACTAAATTACCTAGTTGGCTCCCCCAGAACATCAGCCAGGCTTGGCAGGGAGAGACAGGGAAGAAGAAACGTTTTGCTTCAAGCCACAATCCATCGCCCCAGGAGAACCTCTCTGGGCAACAAGAAAATCATCATCCTAACAGCTCACCCAGCTATTCAAAGATGTCCTCCAAATGCACTCCAGCAAGAGGATTGATTTAGCAGGCTGCTAAATTATGGGGGCTGCATCCAAGAGGATGCAGTCTCACCAGGTTTCTGGGCCCTGTCTAACTTTCATTCCGAGCACATCTCAGTCACATCAGGAGAGAGGCATCAGGAATGAGGTCAGTTTGAGGCTTAGAACGAGGTGCCTGGTTTCCTACCTGGTGCCCTTCCAAGGAAGTACAGGTTAGTGGTTGAGACTCAACATTCCTACTGGTTTGCATTTTGGCTTTGTCACTTACTGAGTGACATTGGCCTGGATTGCTTTGTACCCCAGTTTCCTCATTGGTACATGTAAGTTATCATGCCTACCTCCTAAAGTTGCAATGAGGACAAAATGAAATCACACGTGCCACCCATCAGTACTGTGTCTGACACAGTATAAGCACTTATATACACTGTTGTTAGGATCCACAGCCACAGGCGTGTGGTGGCCCCTCCCCAGGTATCCCCAAGCCCCATTCATTTGCCCCAGTACTCCATCCCCCACCCCGAGTTGCAAGGTGTTTATATGTGCCTAGCAAGCAAAAATACCTCCCTCCTCTTCTTCCTCTCCCCCGTTGATTCATTTGCTTATTCAGTAAGCGTCCAACTGTTTGCCATGGACACCACAGGCTGGATCAGAGCTGCCTTTGCAAACCTGCTCATTTTCTCAGTCAACCAAGAAGCATCCAAACTCAGCAAAAGCACATTTGTTGTTTGTTTCCCTTGGTCTTTCTATGTTACCCAACGGAAGACAAATCCCCCAGATTGAGTAATGGGAGAGAACGTTTAACACCCCCAAAGCCTCACCACATCTGGACTCTGTGTCCAGCTGCCAAGTTTCAAATGGATGCACTATAAAATCACTGAGTCATGAAGTTTCTCTCTTTTTCCACCCCCCTCCTCCATGTAGTACTTCCCCTGAAAACAGACACACACACACACACACACACACGCACAGGTTGCTGATGGAAACTCTAACAGACTCTCAGCTGTAACATCTGTTCAATGTGATCTCAGTTCCACCAGCTACATCAAAGCTGCCCTCCTGCAAGTTACGCAGCCAACATCACAAGTGGGATTAAAACCGTGTTTAATAGTTGGCTATGACATAAACTATTTATACCTCTGGAGCTCGGCAAGCTCCTGAAAATTCATATTCTGCACATCCAGAGAAAGAGAAGTGGAGAGAAGGACATGTCATCTCTGGTTCTGAGGATGTAAGTGCAGATGAAATTGGCAAGTGTGAAGCCCCCTGGGGCCCGTTCTCCTGAGGCCCCGTAAAACAGGCTGAAACCAAAGATGTTGCAAAAATGGAGGGGAGAAGCAGGAAAGAAGCCTCCACAGGGCGAACTGATAGTTGCAGGCATGTGACAGAGCGTTGGACAGCAGGAAAGTTCCTCAACAGGTGTGTGCTCTGTCTCCTTGCCTCCCAAGGGCTCATCACTTTGTAAAGGACACTCAGGCAGGGATGGGCCTTCTGGAACTTTCCTTCAAGCTCTATGGCAAGTTTCTAAGTTCTATTGAACTAATACCATCACTTCCTCCAACAAGAGCTAGATGGAGGTCCTCTCCTTCCCAGGACTGGATTTCATAGTGTGAGTACCTGGACCAGTTGCACACTGGGGCCCAGATGGCACTACACAAACTGCAATACCTCTAGACACACTTTTCCACAATGAAACACAGGCTCTACCCTGAGTCTCTACAGGTGCCCAGCCTGGCCAGCCAGCCCTGCATAGAAAAAGGGCAGGACTCCTGATTCAGCCTTACCCTTGAAACCAGTGGGCAGCAGCTGGGAAGAGGCTGTAAGGTCTGAGGGTGAGAGGGATCATCGCTCTCCTGGGAGGTGGGAGAAAAGTTCTCATGGCTGTTTTTTGTCACATGTATCTTTGTGACCACTTGAATTATGCTTCACAAAACAATATTGAGATGGCTGAAATATTATCTGTGTTAGTTAACTTTTAGTCACTATAACAAATAAATGAAAAAAAAATCAACTTATAAAGATAAAATTAGCTGGGCACCAGTGGTGCATGCTTGCAATCCTAGCTACTCAAAAGGCAGAGATCAAGAGGATCGCAGTTTGAGGACAGCCCCTGCAAACAGTGTATGAGACCCTATCTTGAAAATACCACAAAACAAAATGGGGCTAGTGGAGTGGTTCAATGGTAAAGCACCTGCCTAGCAAGCATGAGGCATTGACTTCAAACTCCAGTACTGCAAAAAAAAAAAAAAAGAGAGAGAAAGAAAGAAAGAAAAAGAAAAGGTTTATTTTTGGCTCACTGTTTGGGAGGTTTCAGTTGTACCCATTGCTTTGGGACTACAGTGAGGCAGCACACTATGGTGGGAATATGGGAGTACACAGAGGGGCAGAACCACTCATCTCATGGCCAGGGAACAAAAGAAAGGAAAAAGCACATCCTCAGTGACCTATCACTAGACCCCACCTCTCAGAGGTTCAACCACCTCCCAATGGCACCTCCCTGAGGTCCTGCCTTTAACTCATGAGTCTGTGGGGGACAGTTAAGATCTAAACTATAGCTCCATAATGTCCCTTGTCATTCCCTGCAAAAAGGCAGACAGCCTGTCTGCTCCTATACCAGATGCTTCCCAGATTTGTGGTTCCCCATCTGGAGCGAAGGGAGAACAGGCTTCCAACACAGGTGGCCACCTGATGCTCAGGAACAGAGTTTTCTTCCCCGTACCTGCAGATAGCAGTACATCCCAGTGGGTATCTCCCTGGCCCAGCCCCTTTGCCCCAGCACTGGCAGTAGAGATGGCACATCCTGAGCACTGGCAGGCAGAGAGGACCCCACCATTAAAGTGTCCCATCTCTAGGCTCAGCCCTCAGCTGGATGTGTATGACTCTCTGAGGGTCTCAAGAGCCCAGACTGGGAGTCTTGCTCCCTGTGGTACCTCTCATGGAACTCAGGATTTGCTTGATGAAACTGGGAAAGTGGCTTCTTACTTCTTTTTATGAAATTGACCTGAACACTGAGAGTCTTCATGAACCTCCAGCAATAAGCATGAACTTCTGCTTGTGGGTGGGTATTGGCCAATAGAAGCAGTAGGGCACCGGCTAGGCCATGGAGACCAACCTGCCTCCTAAGTCAGCCTAGAGTTAGCCTCCAGGCCCTGTCAAGGGAGGGATATTCACTGGTGCATCATCTCTTCTCCCCTGGAGTTGGGGGCTGGGGTGGGGATGCCAGGGCCTGGGAGCTACCAGGAGCCCTGCTGCAGGGTGACCCAGCTTTTGGAGGAGGTCTGGAATCAGCTACCCCAGAACTAGGCAAAGCACATGTGCACAAGGCCATTCCCTGGGTCCCTGGACAGCTCTCTGCCTCTGTCTGTCCACTGCAGACCCCTCAAGTTCTATTCCCATTCTTCCATGTCTCAGTGTCTGTTTCTCCCTCTCTCTTTTCTCTATCCTTCATTATTTTTTTTGGTCCTCTCCCCAACATTCTGCCTCCATGTGCTGGGTCCTCCTTGGTCTTTTCTGTTTCCAATATGATGATAATTTTGTTTGATTCATATTCTCTCTCTCTCTTTCTTGCTCTCTCTCTTTCCTCCCTCCTTCCCTCCTTCTCCCTCACCTTCTCCATCTTCTTCTTTAAGTTTCTGTCCATTTTTTTTTTGAGACAGGATCCTTTCTAGTCTGGCCTCAAACTCATTATTCTCCTGCCTCAGCCCCGAGTGGTAGGATTATAGATGTGCAACACCATGTCTGGCCTCATTACGCTTCTGCATTTCTCAATCTGTTTGTTTGTATCTTTCTGTCTCTCTGCCTATGTCTCTCCAGCATGCCTGCCTCATCTCTGCATCTGTCTGCCTATCCCTCTTTGTCTGTTTTTCTCTGTGTGTCTCTCACAGCCTGCTTCCCAGCCCTTTTGCCCAGGTCTCTCTGTGTGTTTCCAAGTCTCTGGTTCCTGTCTCCATGCTTCCGTCCCTCTCTCTTTCACCATTCAGCACTTCAGAGCTTGGCTTCTTGTCATCTCAAATGAGAAACAGAGTCCCAACCCAGGGAGCTGAGGTCCTGGTGACAGCAGTCAGGACTCAGTAGATGATTACTCTGATGAAGGGTGTAAATGCCACTTTCAAGTTACCAGATGCCCCAGAACCTTTGCACAGAGCTAGAATAAACAGACATTTCAAAGACAGAAGCTCCTATTGAAATGAAGTTCAGCGTCCACCCTCCTCACACCCCATTCCCAGCTCTCCTTCCTGAGGTGTTTTGTTCTGCCTGGGAAGCTGGAGTCGGACAATGTGCTCCTGGAACCCAGGCTTCATAGCTGGGTGTTCATTTCAATACCGGGCCTTAAATCCACAGAGGGATCTGAATGCCCCTTCCAAGACTGTCTGAAGCAGGTGCCTCCAGGGAGCAGAGAGGCCACACACTGACCCCCAGACCATCATTCTGGGAACCACCAGGGCAGTGGCTGCTTGGAGAACCTCAGTGGTAGGATCTCCGGTGTTTACCCTCCGTCACCATGTCACCCAGGAGGTCTTCCTGCCCTATTACATCCACAGTCTCCAAGTGAATCTCTTCTCCCTACAGATCCCCCACTTGTCAACTTGTCAGTAGAACCACAGCCCGTGCTGGAGGACAACATCGTCACATTTCACTGCTCTGCAAAGGCCAACCCAGCTGTCACTCAGTACAGGTGAGCATCACTGCAGTGGAGGCACAGCCTGGCCTCCTGCCCTCCATCCCCATACCTGTCACGTGAGATGTCACACACAGCCACAGCAGACATCCAATTAGCCTCCTCCCTTTCTCCCAAGGCCCACCTGCTGACCTGTGTACTCTCCCTTTCCTTTCCCATAGGAGGGAGCAAATGGCCCCCTTCCTGTTTGAATAACTTATTTATTCCATATTTCTTGAAAGACTGAAGAGGCTCAGGCAAAAGTTCAAACCGTCAAGAGAATCAAGGAGTCAGTGTTTGTCACTGTCTACCTAGTCAGGGTCCAAAAGTCTCCTGGAATCCTACATACCCATGGCCTCTTGAGTCCTTGCCCAACATCCCTGTTTTTTACACGGTTCTTTGCCTTTTGACAGAGCTTCTCAAAAGCAAGAGCTGCAATTTGGTCACTTACGACTCTCAACATGTAGTGTAGCACATGGCAAAAACTAGGCGCTCCTTGCATGCATCTGACTGACTGATGGAATAAACACAGAGCTGCTCCTCTGGGTGCCTTCCTCCTTTGTGCATCACCATATGGGGGTCCAGAAACTAAGTGGCTTTGGAGGCTCAAGATGCTAGCCTCCTTTTCATGCCAACCAGAACTCCTTAAGGCCCTAACTGCTCTGTCCTTTTCCACCAGGCCAGGCATGATGGTGGAGCCCAGGGTGTCACCTCCGACATCGATCTGGGTTATTAGGCTGTAGCCTCAGCAAGTGCCAAGTATGCTAATGGTCCCAGACTAGGAAAGCAGCTGGCCAGGAGGAGTGGAGAAGAGGGAAGGCACAAGGCAGTATGGCCCCAGCAGGCAGAATGAAGGGAAATGGGCCAAAGAGGCAGCCCGAGATTCAGGTTGGACATAAGGAGCCGCTCCCTGCCATGTGGATAATTAAGCAGCACTGGAACCAGAAACCCAGGAAGGGTTCAGAGCCTCTCCCTGAGGATATTTTAAAATAGGAAGAAAACCCATTTGTCCTGCCTGACTTAACCCTTCTGTGCACTGGAGGCAGTAATAAATAATCTTCAGGGTCCCTGCCATGCCGCTGAGGATCCCGAGCTCCCAGAAATCATGTGACCCAGTCAAGTCCAGGGAGCAGGTCTGGTTTGGCTGGGGTCTGGCACCTGCCCAGAAGTGACAAAAGATGCAAAGGAGAAAGCCAACAGACTCTTTGTCTCTGGATTTCCACCTGGCACCTGCCAAGCCTGAGCTTCTCTCCTCTCTCTGCTCCACCTCTCAGCTTGTGGTCCCTAAATATCAGATGTAATGTGCAAAGACAAAACTTCTAATGTTTGTTTCCCAGGGCAGCCCTTCTTACCCACAAAGCACGAGGGCAGACATCCTGCCCCATTCACCCTCACAACCATCCCCCAAATGACTGTGCAACCCTAAAGACCCAGATGCACAACTTCCCACTTCCATTTTTGTCACCACCAGGCTCCTGGTCACCTGATGACCTAGCAATGAGAGGCTGGGCAGACAGCAGAGCAGCATGCCCCAGGAGGTCAGCAGCCTCTGCCCACAGGCCGGACACCCCATATCTGCCTTCAGGTCTCAGCAGGTTGTGAAATATCCAGAAGGCCCATTTGCTGGGCCTGACTCCCAGTGTCACCCTCCTCAAAAACACAGAGAAGCAATAATAAAGGTGTGACAGTGAGACCCCGGTGGCTCATGCCTATAATCTTAGCTACTCAGAAGGCTGAGCTCAGGAGCGTTGCGGTTCGAAGCCAGCCTGTGCAAATAGTTTGCAAGACCCTATCTCGAAAAAAGGGCTGTTGGAGTGGCTCAAGGTTTAGGCCCTGAATTCATGCCCCAGTACCTCAAAAAAGAAGAAAAAGTGGTCAAATGTGAATAACTGATCAATCTAGGTGTCAAAAGATGGCAGTTAATGGGGTTACTATTACTTTTCTCTAATATTGAAGTTTTTTTTTAATTCAAGCTGAAAAGTTCGCCTAACAGGCTGTAATCTCTAAAATTAGATATACACCCTCCCTCACCCCAGTCCCTAAAATGGGTCACCCCCAGATTCAGTCACCCCCAGAGACCAGGAGCCCAGGGCTAGCAGTACTGACCCAAGCACAGCAGGACGTTCACTGGGTACCTTCCTTTGAGTGTCTAGCTGCATCCCCCAGCAGAGAGCAGGATGAGAGACTACCACTGCCAGGATGAAGCACGGAGCTGTTTGACATGCCAACCCGATGGCTGTGACAGATCTAGCCTCCTGATTTTGTGATATAAATAATTAATCCTCTTGCATTTGTTCAGACCAAATTAGACATTGATTGGGAAAGGTTTAAGCTGACTCCTTTGCAGAGGACCTGAGAGAGGTAGCAGAGACCAGCAGAGGAAGCTGAACCACAAACTGAGGGGAGAAGGGAAGAGAAAAGAAAGGGGTGACAGCACTCTTGGTTCTCACTTTGATCCTGCAGTCTAGTGCTGGAAAGCAGTGGTATGAGCTTTTCAATTCTGGAAAGGACCCTCAGAGGGCTGTTCAGGTGGGAGGGGAATAGAAAGGGGAAGAAAGAGTGACTGACATGACACAGCAGAGGACTTTTCAGGGGCCAATGGCACCTCCCCAAAAGACCCTGTCCTGAGGCTCCTGAATTCCCAGCCCTGACAGCCAGTTCCTGCCTGTGATCTTGGGAGAGCGCACTCAGAATATCCCTTCTACCCTCTCACCACCTCTCATGGAGGGACAGGCTACACAAAGGGCCAGTTCAGACAGACAGCACAGCTCCATTGAGCCAGGAAATAGTCCTCTCCCACAGTGTCCAAGTCCTTTTCTACCTTCTCTAACTCTTTTAGGTGAAAGGAAGGGCTAGCTGGCTGGGAGGAAGGGAACTGTGACCCTGAAGCATTGGGTTCAAGTCCTTCAGGGCCCTCACAGTTCTCTTGATCAGGGCTAAGGTGATAGAGCTCCCTGATTTTCACCATGAGGGGCCCCAGACAGAGAGGGGAGAAGTTACTCTCTGCTCCAGGAGCCCCTAAGGAAGGAACAAACAGCCCTGCTCATCAAAACCAGCTCTCCTGGACCCAAGCCCAGCCCCAGATCCAGGTACTATAAGCAGCCAGGAGCAGGGCCTGACCTGAGCTGAGCAGGACTCTCCCTGCCCTCCTCCCCACCCAGCCTTGCCTGATAGCCCATCACTCAAATCTCCTTGCTTCAGCAGGGTAGAGGGAATTGGGGACACAGACCCCTAGCTGTGTGTCTGGAACTGAATTAATCCACCTCAGGCAGGGGCTGTGCCTGACTATTAAGTCTGGTCATTAAATTAAAGTTAGGAATTGAAACGATTCATGAATAACTCATAATGGTTTGTTAGGAAGCTCCTTAAGCTCTCGGGGAGCTATGGTTTGCTCTGTTGTTAAACTATAATTGTTATTATTAATCGTGTTCTTAATAATTACCTGATATTAATTCAAGATAATAACCACATGGTGCCAGCCTAGGTGTTCTATGGGAAGCAAAGAAGTGGCCATCTCCTGGGGTTAGATGAGCCACACTGAGCCAAGAGCTAGTGGAGGGAGGGAGGAGGTGGCATCAATGAGACCAGGAAAGGTTTAGAAGCAGAGGAAGGGAGGAGAAGCAGCAGCAGCAGGAGAGCTGGTGCGTGCAGGTGACAGTGCTGGAGGCCAAGCAGCTTCTCCAGTTCTAGGAAGATGCACACCTCAGTCAGGCTTGAGATGCAGTTGGGGAGACTGGTTAGAGGTTCTGAGATTTCAGAGTGACTGCTGCCCACAACAGGATTGAACCAGGGAAGCTATGAACCCTCTCTCATTGGGGATCTGTAAAGAAAGGCCCACCTTCACACATACATGCACATGCACTAAACACATACGTGCACACTCAAACATGTAAACCCTCACCCATGCACACAGTCACACTTGCACACATGCAAACCTTCACATGCATACACATATGCATATGCATGTATATGCACACGCATGTGCACTGTATATATGCCCACTCATATGCACACACACGCATGCATACTCACATTCACACATGCACCTCTGTGGGGCTGCAGCAGGGTCTGTGTATATAGTAGGCACCTGATGACTGATCCAATGCAGTGATCACTGCCCCAGAGTCAAGACTAAGCCAAGCCCCAGACTTTTCCATCTCTTCCCTCTGATGTACTGATTGACTTGTGAGAGAAACTTCCTACACATCTCTCCCCACCAAACCAAGGCTGATGGAGCTGAAGCCTTAGAGGAACAAAGCTGGGGTGGGGGAGGGGGAGAGAGTTTAGGAGGAATAAAAGCAACTGCCATCCCTACGAGATAAAAGGACTTGCAGGGGAAGAGCAGGCACCATGAAGGACCTGCACTTGGGGCAGGAGGTAGGACAGAGAGCTGAGAAAGATGGTTGAGTGGGAGGTGGGGCAGGAAGCTAGTCTGATAATACCCTCATATATCTCCTCACCCTGTCTGGAAACCAAGCTTCCTAAAGCCTCATTTTTCTGTGCGCAGGTGTGTGTGTGTGTGTGTACATGCATGTGTGTGGGCACATACACCACTAGATCTTGGCCTCTGAAATCATGGGCTTGGCCTCCTTTCTCAATATGGCCCAGAATAGGGCCTAGACTCCTACAGTAGAACTCAGAGCAGGACAGCCAGGCTCTTTGGTGACTGACAGCAGGGTTATCCATTGTATAGCCTTCCAGATGGGCTGACTGTTTTTTCAGAATAACTCACTTGTCAAGTGCACTGCTTAGTGACAATGACCAAAGTACACCATCTTCACTATCACCTGGGTGGGTGCAAGACCATCTCTTCCCCAAGTCCTTAAAGTCACCCCTCTGGAGAGATTACCCTTGAGGGACCTCTCAGGCCTCATTTTCGTATATCAAGGTTATGTCTAACTCCCTAGAGGGTCATTCTTGCTATTGGAGGTCCCCTACATCTCTGGCCTCTGTTGCAGGTGGGCCAAGAGAGGCCACATCATCAAGGAGGCATCTGGAGAGGTGTACAGAACCACTGTGGACTACACATACTTTTCGGAGCCTGTGTCCTGCGAGGTGACCAATGCCCTGGGAAGCACCAACCTCAGTCGCACAGTTGACGTCTATTGTGAGTGCAGGAATTTAGGGCTATTCAGGAGAGCAGGCATGGGGTGGAGAAACTGAGGCTAGATTCATTGCACACAACCTACCATCACACTTCGCAAGTGTACTATGCTTTGCATTTCGCAAGAAGATTCCTAATTTGATGCTCCATGTTTATTTTGATCTTCAGAATGACCCAGTGAGGTCATGTCAGTTCAGACTACTCTAACAAATTACCATAGACTGGGTAGCTTAATAAACAAAAATCAGTGTGCCAGCATGGCTATTGTGGTGAGGCTTCCCTTCCTGAGTGCAAACTACTGCCTTCTCACTGTGTCCTAGCATGGCAGAGAGAGGGAAAGGAAGCAAGCCCTCTTCTGCCTCCTCTCAAAGGGCACTAATCCCACATGAAGTCTCCGCCCTCATGACCTAATCACCTCCCGAGACCCCACCTCCTAATACCACCACACTGGGGGTTAGGGTTTCCATATATAAATCTGAGGAAGGACAGAAACATATAGTTCATAGTAAGTAAATATCATTATTCCCATTAGCTAGATGTGGAGATGAAGGCCCAAGGTCACACAGTGAATAAGAGGCAAAACAAGAACTGAAGACAGGCAAGGACTGAATCCATCACCTGTTCACACTGTCCCACTGAGGGGACTCATGGACATCCCACCTTCCTCACTGGTGGCTTACCAGGAACTCACACAGACAAGTCAACGCATAGCTAAGGACTAGTTAGCTGGATGGGCTTTAAAAAAAAAAAATTAGCTCACACACTGCCCTTTCCCAAGCTTCTTTTTCCTAACTGATCCTCCCCTCGCCCCAAACAGCCTCAGCAAAAGGAACTGCTATTCCCATTTCACAGCAAGGCATTAGTCTAGTCTCCTGACCCCAGATCTTGGAATCTGTCCCCTGAAAGAAGTGCTCCAAGACCTGCCTGGCCAGTGTCTGCACACCTCCTGCCACTTTGTGGACCAAGGCTGATCTGCAAGCCAATGTGTTGGGGAGGGCAGAGCAGAGCCTCCACAGTGCTCTCCCACATGCAGAAGTGTAGGAAAGAGAGCAAGGGATGGTCTATTTCAATGGGGCTGAAAGGAAGCTGGGAGCAACCGGAGAGGGTGTCCTCAGGGAGAAAGCCTGGGTTGCACAGCCCTGCCTCCCTCACTGCAAATCTCAGAGCCCTCTGGGGAGGAACCTGGGAGCAGGGTGGGGGGCAGGGGGAGGAGTGTTCAAACTGGGCCAGCCAGGGCCCAAGATTCTGCATAGGAGAAAGGCCCCACACACTGGGCGGAGTCTTCCTCAACTTTCTGAAGCCAAGTGGGACCAGGACAGAGGGAAGGGGATGGAAGGTAAATCCAGGCAGAAATGGGGCCCCAGAACCTGTTTTCTGGGGCTGCTGCCTGCTCCTCCATGGGCCCAAGAGAGTCTGAGCTTAGGGGAGAGGGTCTCCTCCTTACTTCCCTGGGCCCACTCCAGTGCCCCAGTGCCAGGTGGAGGATCAAAATGTTAAGGGAATAGGCTGAAGTGGATGAAGGTGGTGCAAGCATCCTACTCCCCTTCCTCCAGTCAGAGTGGAAGTAAAGGAGGCAGCAGCAAGGAAGGTCCTCAGAGCTCTCCAGCTCACCTGAGCCCTGTCTCCTCCTTCCTTCCCATCACAGTTGGTCCCCGGATGACCACAGAGCCCCAGTCCCTGCTCGTAGATCTGGGCTCGGATGCCATCTTCAGCTGCGCCTGGATCGGCAACCCATCTCTGACCATTGTGTGGATGAAACGGGGCTCTGGCGTGGTGAGTTCATAGCCCAGACTCCAAGAAGCCTCTGTCGGGGTGGGGGAGTCGATCTCCAGATTAAACCAATAGGATCCCAGAAAGAGGGAGGAGAGCCCAGGTACTGCCTGTACCTCTCTTGCCCTGAGAACACATTGGGCCTTGCAGTTTTGCCCTCATGTTAAGCTTCTAAGAAAAGGAGGTAGTGTAGGGCTGAGGATGTGACTCAAGTGGTAGAATGCTGCCCAGCAAGCTCAGAATTCTGAGTTCACACTCCAGTATCACCACAAAAAAAAAAAAAAGACAATCAAGAAATTGCCAATATGGGGTGAAGAGAAGTCACTAGAAACGTTTTGCAATTTCTCCCAATAAAATTACTCTTAGCCTTGACAGGGAGAGAGTTTCATGATTTCAAAGCTTTTCTCTCTCTTTTCTTTTTTTGGCAGTACTGGGGTTTAAACTCAAGGCCTTGCACTTGCTACACACGTGCTCTACCACTGGAGTCACTCCTCCAACCCTTTTTGCTTTAGTTATTTTTTAAATAGGGCCTTGAGATTTTGCCTGGGACTGGCTTTGAACCTCAGTCCTCCTATCTACACCTCCTGTGTAGCTGGGACCACTGGTGTGCAACACTCCACCTGGCTTATTGATTGAAATGGGATTTTACTAACTTTTTGCCTGGGCTGGCCTCAAACTGTGATCCTCCATTCTCTGCCTCCTGGGTAGCTTGGATCAGGTATGAGCCATTGTACCAGCCCCTGCGTTCCTTTTTAAAATGTCTGTATTTTTTAGTGTACATGAGTTTGCCAGGTGTCTCCAATAGGGAGGAGCAATGAGAACTTTGGGTAAGGAAGCAGAAGGGGAGGCAGAAGGAACTGAGCTTTGTTGTGTGTTAGGTGCTGGGTGCTGCACTGTCTTATGAGGTCTTGTCACCCCGAATAAGGAAACCAAGCCTCTGACAGTAACTGGCCAAAGTCATGTGATGTTCAGGAATGCCAGGAATAGCCAGTGCCAAAGTTGACTTTCATTTTTTTTGGTAGTACTGGGGCTTGAACTCCCAAAGTTGGCTTGCTATCATCCCAAAGGGATACTGGAGATGACTCAGAAAATATAGGTCCAGGGACCTTCCAAGCTCAGCTGTAGAATAATTTCACTCAGCCATCCCAAGAGAGTAGATGCCGCAGAAGGTAGAGGGAGGTCAGCTCAGAGTCCCTCACATTTCTGTCTACCATGTACCGCCCCTCAGGCTGCAGCTGGAGGGGCATCTCTGCGTGGGTGGGGTCTCTTTCTACAGCCCACAGGGTACTGTCTGCCTCTCCCCTCCCACCTGGGCCTTTATGGAGATGCTGGACTATATCCAGCACCATGGACCTGCCTCAGTCATCTGGTTCTGAGAGACAGAGGAAGCCCTCCCCCTACTCTTGGTGTCTGACCCTCCCCAATTCTCCTAGGTCCTGAGCAATGAAAAGACCCTGACCCTCAAATCTGTCCGCCAGGAAGATGCTGGGAAGTACGTGTGCCGGGCTGTGGTGCCCCGGGTGGGAGCTGGGGAGCGAGAGGTCACCCTGACTGTCAATGGTAAGACTCCCACTGTGGTAGGAGGAGAGAAAGACCCATCTCGTCCCAAAGGGACTGTCACTGGTTCTGGGCCTTGTTGCCACTAATATAGCAGTCAGTCTGCCTTTTGGAGTCCCTATCAGAGCCAAGCCTGGAAGTGAGGAAGGGCCTGCCTGGGTAGTTTTCTAGATACTTCTCTTCTTTTTGGTTACCTTCAAAGGGGTTTTAGGAATGGTAGCTGGTGAATTTTTATCCTGGACAAGAAAAAGGTTCAGCAGTCACAGGGTGAGCATACCTCCTACCTGTTTTTGATGCACGGGCCCTGACTGTGGCCCATGGGGGAAGTATAGGAGCGCATCTCCCTCTTCCTGTGGCCAGCCTCTTTTTACTGCAATATTGTCATTATCAGGGACACCTGTCACCATCCCCAGAGATCAAGCCTGCAGGGTCCGCTTGAGGGCAGGAAATGCATCTTATTACACACAGTGTTTGAAATAATGACAGCAGAAGACTGTTCATAGAGGTAGTTCATCCATGGCTGTCTGTGAAACGGGTGCAGGGCATCAGACCAGGCCTGGATACTGGGACATAAGTGGCCATGGAGGAACTAAGAAGGCAAGGAAGGTCCCAAGACAGAAATCCCAGCATTCTTTCTGTGACATGTGCTCAGGCTGTGGTCAGAAACCAGAGCTGCCTATTTGAAAGGGTCTGAGATGCTAAGGCCATGTCCCTTGGCCATCTCCAAATGTTGGTCCCCACTTCTGTCATGCCCATGGAACTTTAGGGGCCCCAGGCTCCCTCCATAGTCACCTCAGCTCAAAACTCTGAGCTACAGTCCCAAGTGTATAGAACCTTAGGATCCCAGCACCAGACCAGGGCCCTAGGTAGCTGAGTTCTGGACATTCATCCCATCAGCGTCGTCTCAACCCACGAAGCCACCCACAGACAGGCTTATCTCCCCTGCCCCCTTTTCTAGAAAACTCAGCTTGGTGCCTCCCATTACCCCCTCTGCTGTCCCTGTTACCCAGTTCCCACCCCACCTATTTCCTCTACTCTCCCCCAAAGGTGTGGAAGCCCCAGAGGGAGGGTGACTCTGCCCAGATCCCAGAACACTCACAGACCACCTGTCCCTGGCAGAACCCCGACTCCAGAGACTTCCCGCCTTTCCTGTGTGTCCCCAGGATGCCACCAATAAATTGGCACTGCAGGGCTAAAAATAACAGCATCTGATCGCGCCTCCATGTATCCATGGCAACACAGGCTGCAGCCTTTTCCTGCCGTGCCAGTGTCTGACACTCAGCTCAGTGCACCAGACCACAGTGGAATCAGCCGCCCTCCCTGCTGCCTGCACTGGGGAAGGCGCTGGGGAGTCAGCTGTCCATGCCTGCTGCCAGCTGTGATCCACAGGCCAAGCTAGGACCCTTAGACTCACATGTGCCCTCCAGGGGTTACTGGCCTGAAGCTATTAACTGAGCATCCTTTTTTCTGGAAAAAGGGTTGATAAGGAGGGGTTGCCATTTTGCTGTCACTTTTAGGCATTTCCCAAAAGAGATTTGAAGGAATTTCTTGAGGCAAGAACCCTCCCTCTGCCCTGGGGAATACCTTGGAGAGACATTTTTCTTGGACCCCTTCAACAGCCTGGACCATGGCATCTACTCAGGATTTGTTCTTTTTTCCTTTTTATATTTTGTGTGTGTGTGTGTGTGTGGTACTGGGATTTGAACTCAGGGTCTTGCTCTTGCTAGGCAGGTGCTCTACCACTTGAGCCATCCCCCATCCCTTTGCGCTTTAGTTATTTTTTTGGCTAGGGTCTCATGTTTTTGCCAGGGCCCAGCCTTCAACCTGCATCCTCCTACTTACACCTTCTCCATAGCTGGAACTGTACCTGTATGTAAAGCACAATGTTCAGTTTCTGTATTGAGATGGGGTCTTGTTAGCTTTTTGCCTGGGCTGGCCTCAATACGCAATCCCCCCAGTCTCCACTTCCAGAGTAGCTGGGATTATGGTTGTAAGCCACTGTACCTGGCCTAATCTTCCTATTCCCTTCTCGGCCTCCACTCCTCCCCCAGGTTGCCAGACAGAGAAAAGCTAAAGGGATTGAAGTGAAGGAATGAATTGCTTCCCTTATTTCTGCTGGTCTCGGGCTGCCTTGTACTTCGTGTGGTGATGGGGTGGTGGGGGCAGGATGAAATGGTCCAGGGAGAGGAGCCTGCCAGTCCTTACCAAGGAGCCATTTGCCCCCACCCATGGAAGGGTGGTGAGGCCAGTGAACAGGGGCCTGCGCATCTAGCAAATCCCTCCTTAGGACATTGCCAGTCAGTGCCCTGTGGGGACTCCAACTGAGCTGCCTTGCACCAGGAATCTGCACTGGTGGATGGACTCCCTGACCTTATTTCCCTTCGCCCTGGTTTTTGTCTTCTTTTAAGAAGCCCATGAATGCATATGCATTTGCTGATGGCTCTTAGAATTCTATAAACCCCTGGGGGAATTTCCTAGTTCCTGGGATGTGAAAGGAAAAGATTTCATAGTATAATCACTTCTTAGCCCAGCAGCAAAAGAAAGCACCATCCAGGTTCCAAAAACACTGAGCCCTTGTAACTTGGGCCAGAGGCTTCTTGGAGCAAAGGGATTTAAAAGAGGAAGGCAGCACTAGTCCTGGTCTTAAAGCCACCTGAGGGTGAATTCTTACCTTGAGGTTCCCTGGGTCTGCTGTACCCAGCCCTGAACCATTTGCATTCTAAACTTGAGAGAAGTCATCAGGAGTGTCTCCCAATACCTTTTTTCCCCTTGGCTGAGAGCTACTCATACAAATGCAAATCTGTTTTAATTAAAGTGGCTAATAAACAGCAATTATGTTTGCAGCAATTTTTGTTTTGTTCCCAGCATAATTTTGCCTGTTTCTCAGATCAATTGCTCTTAGCTATCTTTCCTCTGTGTTCTGCCATCCAAGTCCTAACCATCACCCCAAGGATTAGAAAGGGGGCTTGAGGGTTTCCATCCCTACCCTCAAGCTCCCATCCAACCAGGAAGATAATCAAACAAAGGGCTACACCAGCCACTCCTTCCCCTCTCACTGGCAGATGGGCATCACTTAGGACAGACTTTGGTTAGATAACAGGCAGAACTGGACAGGAAGAGCTATGGAACAGGCTCCACTCCAGGTGCACAAATCTGGCTGTTCAATGTGGTAAATGAGTCAGGTATTCTCAGAACCTGACACCCATAAGCATCACAGCATCACACACACACACAAAGACACACACACACACTCACACTGGATGGGATAATATTGATGTCAACTTTGGAGCCTCAGTCTCACCTGGGCCTTCTGGGTATGTATGTGGAGACAGACAAGATACTAAACTACAGGACCTCCTGAGACATACCTAGGATAAGACTATGAACGTGGCCAGTACATTCCACCTACCCAAAGTGCTTCCTGTCCTGGATAGGTGGAATAGCACCAGTTTTCTTCCTCTCTTATGGGCCTGGCGGAGGATGCTCAGTGTGTTGGACAAGCACGCCCTCTACAGGAGAGCTTGGAAATAGTTCCAACTCCAACAGCTGGCCAAGGCAGGGTGACATTCCTTGTGCTGTCTTCCTTCATCCTGGCACCTGCCCTGACTCCTTTCCCAGGCTCACCACCTCTTTCATAAAGTGTTTTCTGTCCAGACAGAATTATTCTCTCTTCTCTGAAGTCAGTTAGCACTTTATCTGCACTGCTGTATGAACGCTCACCATCTTTTATTACAATTATTTATGTCTTCTGGGGATTCTGACTTCGAAGCATTCACTCATGATCCCTTGAGAGGTTTACGACTGAATACTGAATTTATCCTCGCACTCTACCTTATACAAACAGGCCTTCTATAAATGTTTGCTGAATGCTTGGATTAAGCCTTCCAAACCCACCAACAAGGGTGCCAGCTGGGGACCTGCCCCTCCTGGATTCCTAACCTGATGTCGTCTCCTCAACAGGTCCCCCCATTATCTCCAGCACGCAGACCCAGCATGCCCTCCATGGCGAGAAGGGCCAGATCAAGTGCTTCATCCGGAGCACACCGCCACCTGACCGCATAGTGAGTACTCCAGGGAGTCCGTTGTCCTCACCTCCAGCAACCAGGAGCTACCTCTGCCAATAGCTGGTCAGCCAGCCAGTTGGTGAACACCTCTGAGCCTCCTTTCCCTCCACGGGGAAAATTATACCTACTTTGCCTCTTTTAAACACATCCTGGAGACAAAACAACAGGCAGCCTCCTTTCTCAGAACAGGCGAGCTCCAGGTTGCCTCTGCCACCCAGCTGAGCGCAAGCATCAATGTGTGCTGGGGGTGTGGGGCAAATGAGGGCAGCAGAGGGAAAAGATAAATGATTTCTTCCCTTTCCTGGGTTCAAGGCCAGTCTGGTGCAGTTTACAGTTGGCACCCTCTCTTCATACCTCCCAAAACCCTCTTTTTAACTCTCCTCTGCTTTAATGTCACAGGGATACCTCACGCCTTCTGTTGTGTTTCCCTCTGAAATGACTAGTCCATTCTCATTTCCTTCTCTTCTACCCACTTCTCAGCCCTGTAGAGCAGCCAAGGCACCCTGGTAGCTCACCCTTCCCCCCCCCCCAGGTATTTGTATTTGGTTTAGGTAGTCCTGGGGTTTGAACTCAGGGCCTTGCACTTGCTGAGCAAGCACTCTACTACTTGATCTACACCCCTAGCTCTTCTTGCTTTAGCTTGACTTAGGTAAGCTTTTGCCCTGGACTCAGCTTTTGCCCAGGCTGCCCTGGGCCATGATCTTCCAGCCTCTGTCTGCAGAGTAGCTAAGATCAGAGTCGTGCCTGACTTGTTTTTGAGGTAGGCTCTCCCCCGAGTTTTTGCCTTTATTTGCCTCAAAACTTAATCCACCTCCTGAGTTGCTGGGATTATAGATGTGAGTCATCATGCCTAGCCCATGTTTGCATTTTTAAAGGGAGGATCGTGTACTCCCATCTATCTGAAACTGGCAGAAGCTCAGGTATGAAAACAAAAGTGAGCGTTTTGTGGGACTGTTGGAAGATACTGTTTTATAATCCCCAAAGCCTATGACCGTCCTGCTATAAAACTGCCTGGGGACCGCTTCTTACAGAGCTGAATGCTGGGAGGGTGAGTGGGGCCCGGCACTGAACAAGGGAGAGCCTGTGTGTTGCCAAGACACCAAGGTGTACAAACAGAATCCATCATTCTGGTAAACTCAGATGTTATTAGAAGATTATTGCTGTTACTCATTTCTCAAGTAACTGGTTCATTCACCATCTGAAAAATTCACACAAAAACTGCAAGAATTCACGCATACAACTAATACCCACGTCTCCCATTCACTTCACTCTTTATTTTAAAAAAATTATAAATGGAATACACACCCATTGTAAAAAAAAAAAATCCCGTTCAATCACTCTTGTGCATTTCATACCATCTCTTTTCATAGATGTCTATCTCTAGCCTAGTGGTTCTCAGAGGTGTGATTTTTGTCCCCTGGGGGCATCAGGCGTATCTGTAGACCTTTTTGATTGTGACGACTTGAGGGCGTAGCATGTATTGAGTAGAATGAGGGATGCTGTGAGCTGCCTAGAGCCCAGAGCAGTCGCTCAGTCAGAAAGAGTCTGGTCCAGAGCGTGAGAACTCCAGCTCTGGTTCGTGCTGTGCCTACCAGTATTGCTACTGCCTCATTAACATGAAGTCAGGGTGTGCTCAGGGTTGACACATTGAGGTGTATGCAATGATTGTATAATGACTCTGAGCACAACTAAACTGTCACTGCTCTAAATAAAGACAGATGAAGATGATCACACACACAACTCTAAACATGCTCTTGTAAAAACAAAGTCACAAAACTGGACTGGTCACTATGGGCCACTGTCTACCTCAAACTAGCCACAGCTCAGCACCAGGGAGCACCTGCTAGGGGTCTGTGCTGCGCAGAGATGGCTAGAGTCCTGATGCAAGGGTGCCCTCTGCCTGTAAAACAGGCCAGGTGCAAAGCCGTACAAGCCCCTTCTGGGAAGGAAATACCCTCTGAGGTGGTCCCAACCTTTGTGGATGGACATGGGCTTGTGGACTGTGTGCACATATGGTGTGTGGGTGTGATGTGCTATAGTGCATGTATATATCATGGTGTACGCATGTATATATGTGTGTTTATAGTATGCAAGTGTAATGGTGTGTGTATGTGTTATGGTGTGCCTGCCTGTGTGTACAAGCATTGTTGTGTGTATAGTGGTGTGTACCTATGGTGTGTTTATATGTGTTATAGTGTGTGAACATGTATGTGCATTCTTGTGGGCTGTAGTATACTGTGTGTGATGTGCTGCAGTGTGTCATAGTGTACTTGTGTACACTTGTGAGGTGTACATAGTGTACATTTGTGAGGTGTGTGTATGTGTGGTATGTGGGTCATGGTTTGTGCATGCATGTTTATATGCATGTTCATACTGTGTGGTGTGCCGTGATGTGGTGTGATGTGTACTTTATGTGTGCTGTGGTATATGCATACGTATATAACAGGTGTGTGTGTGTTGCGGTGTGTGGCAGCTTGTGGATTTTGTAAGATGGTGTGTGCACATCTGTGAACATGTGTGTGTGGTGTGTATACTCTTATGCATGTGTGTTTGTTGTGTGCTGTGTGTGTATGGCATGATGCATGTTTCTGTGACTATGCTGTGTTCATGTGTATAGATACTTGTGTTTACACATTTGTGGTGTGTGCATGTGTATTGTGTTTATGTGTATACACGTGTGTTTATGTCTGTAGTACAGGAGTACATGTGTTCTTACATATGCACACGTGTGGCTATGAACGTGCATGTGTGGGGCCTGTTTTTAGTGCGTGGTGTGTGCACATGTTGCTGTGTACACTTATGTTGGTGTGCATGCATGTGTGTGTGTTATGGTGTTATATACATTTCATTTTAGATGTAATATGCCTGTGGGTACATGTTTGTATTCTGTGGTGTGTTCACATGTGTGTAACAAATGTGTGGGTGCTATGGTATTTGGTGGTATGTGTGATATTATGGTATATGTGTATATGTGTGATGATGTGTGTTTGTTTGATGATTGTGTGTTTGTGTGGTGATGTGTGTTTATGTGAGTTGTCTTTATGTGTGTGGTGCAGGCAATTATGTTTGTAATACGTGGTGTCTGTGTGCAGGTGCTTGTGTGTACAGGTGTTGGTGGTGTGTGGCAGCAAACATGAATGTGTGTCAACCTCTGCAACAGAGAAGTGGTACCATGATGCTGGTATGGACAGCTCTGGCAGTGTCTCCTCCTAACTCTGCACCCTGCACCCGGCAGGCCTGGTCCTGGAAGGAGAATGTGCTGGAGTCGGGGACATCGGGCCGCTACACAGTAGAGACGGTCAGCACTGAGGAGGGCGTCATCTCCACCCTGACCATCAGTAACATTGTGCGGGCTGACTTCCAAACCATCTACAACTGTACCGCCTGGAACAGCTTTGGCTCTGACACTGAGATCATCAGGCTCAAGGAGCAAGGTGAGGGCCACCAGGGCAAGGAGGGGACCAACAGGGAAGGCCATGTCAAAGCAGGAGTCTCAGTGTTCTTCCTTACCTACCACACATCCTTGACCTGGCTCCCCTTTAGACAAGGGGCACTGGTCTCCATCACAAAGCAAGAAGAGAAAGCTCAGAGTTGTAGCCCTGAGGGTTCTATTTCAGGAAGCCACAGAGTGACCTGGACTGATTGTGATGACACACTTCTGAAAGCCCTGGTTTCTACACATCCTGCCCTCCTTCATGGGCCCTGGCTTGATGTCCAAATGCTCTTAGGGGTGTTATGCCTGGGTAGAACCCAGGGATACACTGACATGGATGTGTTGAGGGACCTGGCCTCACCCCAGTAAAACAAGCCAGTCCAATCACCCAGAAGTCCCACGGAAGGGCCCAAGCTAAAACAAAGAGGCAGCCTTGCCTGTCCCAGTGATCTCTTGGGTGGGGAATTGGGCCCAGGGAGATACTCGGACCACTGGTTTATAAAGGAGATACCAGACAGAAGGGCAGCACTGGGCAGAAAGGGCAGAGCATCTGGGTTTGAGAAATAGGAGGAAGAAGGGCAAAGACTCACCCCCTACAATCCCACCCTGTGTGCCAGCTGTCCCAGCTCCTGCTCAGATAGATGTTAAGAACTAGTCTCAGGCTGGGCATGGTGAAACATGCCTATTGTCTCAGCTACTGGGGAGGTTGAAATGGGATGAATCACTTGAGCCCACAAGTTCAAGACCAGCCTTGGCAACTCCAAAACAAACAAACAAAATAATACCCAAACAAGCCTGGTGCGATGGCTCAAGCCTATAATCCTAGCTACTCAGTAGATGGAGATCAGAGGATCAAGGTTCCAGGCCAGCTCAGGCAAAAGATTCATGAAGATCCCCACCACCCCATCTCAACCAATAATTGCTGGTCATGGTGGTGAATACCTGTAATCTCAGCTATGCAGGATGCATAAATAAGAGGGTCACAGTTCAAGCTGTTCTGGGCATCAAGGTGAGACCCTGACTCAAAAATAACCAAAGCAAAAAGGGGTAGGGGCTGTGGCTCAAGTGGTAAAGTACCTGCCTAGCAAGTCTGAGGCCCAGTACTGCCAAAGTAAGTTCAAATCCTAGTACTGACAAAAAACCAGAACCCAGTCTCTGTTCAAAGTTCTTGGGCACAGACTACAAACTAGAGCCTTGGAGGGTGAGGGCTAGTTCCTGGAAAGCGCTGTTCCATGTGCAGTCAGTAGCATGCTGGACCCAAAATACCTGCAGATCTCACTGCTTGGTCAGACAGCACTGAACCATGGAGGTCCAGGGATAGTGCTCTGCTAGCCCCAGGCCACTGGACCAGAGATTTGGGGCAAGTAGGTGGTTCCAGCCAGCCCCTCAAGCCTCAGTGGATCACTTAAGTGATCACACCTATGGATCAAATATCTCAGTGTCTCCTAACACCTCTTCTCTAATAGGGGCTGCTTTGCATAACGCTTTGCACATAATTTGCATAATATCATCCACACATCATCCAAACCTTCCTGGCCCCCGTTGCCTACCTTCCTTGTCTTTCCTTTGGTGACCCCATCCCTGTGCTCTCCCTGTGGTGTTCTCAGACCCCCTCCCAGGCTTAACTTCTCTCTGTGTCCCTCACCCCCTCTGGAATCTCCAAGTTAGTCTGAACTCCAAGTTCAGGTGGGCGAACCTGGATCTGTGGAGCGGTTCCAGAGATGTGATGAAGGAGGGAGCCTCCTCACCTTGCCCCTTCAGGTGGTCAATCCCCCTGTCCCGTCCCACCCTGGCCAGCCAGGCCCTGGCTGTGGACGCTTGCTTTATTTCCAAACAGGTTCGGAAATGAAGTCGGGAGCCGGGCTGGAAGCAGGTACGGAAGGAGCTGATAAGATCTGCCCTGGGAAGGCGGGAGGGACTCTTGGCTAGTAGGGGAGGGGACCCAAATGGGGATAGGGAGGCCACTAAGTTCTCTGCCCTCCCCAAGTTGAGGGCTTAGTGCAGTCAGAGCAGCGGGGAGAGAGGAGCTCCCAGCCAGTGGGGTCCAGGGACCCCAGATACATGTCTCCTGCCTGCTGCCATGGCCCCAGGGCTCCTCCCTCCCCAGGACACTGCTCTTGCTCCTCTATCCCTTCATCCCTTGTCTTCAGAAGCCCTGGCTCCTACCCCCACCCTGGCCTCCCTCTCCGTCCTGGCTCTCCTGACTTCTCAGCACCATCACCAGCCTCACCATTGCTTCCTAGAACACTAACCTCCCCACCTCTGCTGTGGCCTGCTCCACCCATGCTTGCCAGCTCACTGCCTCTCTCTCCACTCTGCATTCCCATGGAAGTGTCATTTCACCAGGCTGAGGCTGCTGGGCAGGGGCACCCCCAGGCACCCACAGCAAAGTGGTCATCAGGGTGAGCCTGGGTTGAGTTAGTCTGTCTAGACAATTGTTCCCTCCCCACAACCATGCAGACAACCAGAAGAGAGGGCAAATCAGACCTCCCAGGGTCGACTAAGGCCACGTCGAGGACTTGGGGGGTGGTCCTCTGACCCGATTCTCTGCCCATACTGGCCCCTAGCCCATGTCATTCCCTTTAATGAACTCCATGTGGCACCCACATCTCCCTCCCAACTGGACACATGTCCCCGTCCCAAAGCACCAATCCTCAGGGCATGGGCAGCTCAGAGGCCTCTGCAGCCCATGCAGAGGCAGCCTGAACAGTTATGAACTTCCTGTTGTGTTCACCAGACTCTCTCATCATCCACCCTGGTGCTGAAGGCCTAGTTCCCTTCAGTCTCCATTTCATATGTGCCTTTTCACATCCATCTGGAGCTCCCTGACTCCTTCCTCCCTGGGTGCCTGAGCCTTCTCATGTCCCATCCCTTTCCTTGGATGGCCAGGAGACTGAGCAAGGCAGCCTTTCCTCACTCCCTCTCAGATGACATCCCAGGGATGCTCTGACCAGAGAAGAGCCATCTGCACAGGTGGCCTAGGTCAGCCCTCAGGAGACCAGACAAGAAGAGACACACTGGGAACTGAGGAAGGATGTCACCTGGGGGCCTCCTGCCCTCACAAGTCCTTCCTTTTCTGCCACTCTCCACCTGCGTAAGGGCTGTTCTCCAGCCAAGATGGCTTCAACCTCTACCCCCAGCTGTTAACAATTCAAGGAAATGGACTCAGTGGACACCAGATAGAAGGGACCTGAAAACTTCTGCTCCAGCTCTCTGGGGCTACAGATGGGCAATTGAGGTCTGGGAGCATTAAGGAACCATCATGCCTTGGCTCTGAGTTCAGTTGAGATAAGTCCTGGGTTTTTCTTTGGAAACTTACTAGGAATCAGAGGAGAAACTACATCAAACTCAAAATAATAAAATTCAAACACAGAGCAAGTGAGCTTCTAACAGTTTTCCTTTCCTAATGGAATTAAACTAGAAACATCTATTTTTCAAAGCAAGTTCAATCCTGATTGCTGAGATCAACTCAAATTCCTCCCATTTCAATCCTTCGGTATATACTATTCCCACCTCTTCTTGGCCACCTCTTTTGTCACCTCTTCAGTGGTCTCAGTCACCAATAGGTACCTACCTATTCTGGAGTGGCTATAGAATGCAAAAGCTTCCACACACTGCCAACTGAGAGATGCTAGCTCTGTCTGGTAGGTGTCCCCACCTCCTCCCCTTCTCCTTTGTTTCTTTAGAGAAAACAGCAAGAGCCTGGGGATGGTCCTGGGTTCTACCCCTAGCACCTATGGAAGGAAAGGAGGGAAGGAGGAAGGGAGGAAGCAAAGGATGGAGGGACGGAGGAAGGGAGAGAGAGGGAGGGAAAGAGAGAGAGACAGAGAGCGAGAGAGAGAGAGAGAGAGAGAGAGAGAGAGAGAGAGAGAGAACAGCAATGATAGGCTAACCTCCTAGCTATCCCACAGGTTATTCATACCAATGAAGGTGCATGGGGAGGAGCTTAGTCTCTCAAAGGAATTTCCTCTTTTTAAGATTTTTCTCTGTTGCAGTCCTCCCTTCCTACACAATAATGGGAACAAACACTTGAGCAGAGCCAGGCTCCGTTCCAAGGCCTTTACCCACATTCTAAACCCCATAACCTTCTAATGTCAGCACTATTATTATTACCATTTTACAGATAAAAGAGATAGAGTAAGTTGCTTGGAAGAAGTGATGGAGTTGTGATTCCAACAGACGCAGCCTGGGTTGTACAGAGCCCATGAGATTGGGAGGATGCCATGCAACACAGTGGACAGAGCAGGAAGGGGTCAGTGGGAACAGAAGGAGACCTGGGTTTACCCTGGCTCACACACAGTAGCAGCTGAGTATCCTTGACCAAGTCACTTGACTTCTTTGGACCTCAATGTTTCCATCTGTAAATGGGAGGTTTATATTCAGTGGACCAAAGGTCACTCTGCCCCAACATTCTCTAGTTCCACTACTGATGGACTATTCAGAACCTGAAATGATGTGTCCATGCCACATATGTACCATAGAAGTGCCTGGGTTGTCTGGAAGAGCAGCCCCTCCATATTACCACCCCAGCCCCACCCCTACTCGACAAGGCAGGAAACGGACTAGAGAAACTCAGCAGGGTCTGGGGATTGTCCTATCTGGAGTTCTGGGCACTCTCATATTGGGACAGATGCAGATGTGCAGAGCTGGCCAGGAAGAAGGAGCAGGACAAGTGCATCAAGGAAAAAGGACATTTCTCCTTAGAAGGGTCAGTGAGGAAGCTGTGATCCTGTTCCCCTGACCCCCTGAGACATAGGCACCTCGGGGGGAACATCTCTGATGCCCAGCAAGCCCCAAGGGGAAGCTGCCTTAGACTCTTATGTGCTGGCTGTCCACATGCGTCTTCCATGCACCAGGGAAAGGGAAAGAACAAACTGGACAAACAAGGGCAGTAACCATAGTCATTTTCAAAGAAATGCCAGGACTTATGACTCACCAGCCACTCATGATAAATCCCCTGTTCAATGCCAAAGAAAGCTAAATTATGCCGGCATCCCCAGTGTTCTGCTCACTGGCCCTTCCTTCTCTGTGTCTGCCCCTCACCTATTCCTTCCTGCCCTCTTCACCTGATGTCCTCCACCCTGATCTTCACAGTCCTAGACAGAATTGACCCTGTTGGACTTTGCCTGTGCCTGCCCAGGCCCCACCCAGCCATTTCCCAAGAGGGGCCCATGTGACCATGGTCTGGCCCCAGTTTGGCAGGGACTGCACCCCCAGGGGACTGGGTGAGGTCCTGGGGACAGACAGTAGTCTGTCTCCCATGTCTCATCAGTTATATCTGTTTCTCTCCCACAGAGTCTGTGCCGATGGCCGTTATCATTGGGGTGGCCGTAGGAGCTGGTGTGGCCTTCCTCGTCCTAATGGCAACCATTGTGGCCTTCTGCTGTGCCCGTTCCCAGAGAAGTACGGGAGGGAGACCCGGGATCTCAGGGAGGGGGACAGAGAAAAAGGCCAGGCTTAGACTGCCCAGGAGAGCAAGTAAGCAGGAATACAATAAACAGGGGCCCTAATAGTGCTGTGAGCTCCTGGGGCAGGGATGGGTCTGATGTATCATTTTATGTGCAGCACCTCGCAGGTGTCTGGCACCAAGTGGGCACTTGGTTGAGGCTGACCTGAACTAGAATGACCTTCATCAGGCAAGGCAGGCAGCTACTGCTTTGGGTTGGGCACATAGCACCCCTGCTGTGAACAATGTATAGACCCAGGGGGAGAAAGGTGGCTTGACCCTTGCTCTGCAAGGGCTAGTAGCCTAACCTGAAAAGCAGGTCACCCACACAGGGGATAAAAGAATGCAAGGAATTGTTCTGAACAGACGTTTAAAGGTCTTTAGTCATTAGTGATATAATTTTAGTGTTTGTATGATCTTCCCAGGCCTCCATTCTGGGCTGACTCTGGAGTTGATTGATAGGTGCCAGGGGAAGACAGGGGGCAGAGTAGAGGTGAAGATGGGAGAGGTACAGTCTCTTAGTCCTTCCTCCTCTACCATATGACCCTGGGCAAGCCATACGTTTTCCAGGCCTTGGTTTTCTCCTCTGTAATATTAAACAGTCGAATGACATGATTTTTATGACCCCACCACTCTAGACTCTAGTGAGCAGAATACACCAAGTAAATCAGCAGAGGAAGTCTGCTCCCTCCATCACCTGGCACCTTCACATGTTAGAAGGAAACCAGGGCTCCCCTCACATTTTCTCCACTCCTAGCTAAGCAACCTTAGCTAGGACTCCCAGTAGTGACTCCCCACAAGGTGGTCTCAGGATCTCCATTGCAGCCTCTTAGTAGGAATTACAGGGGAGCATATTTTAGCAAGAGTTTTCTATCAAAACTCTTCAGCTAGAAGCAGGCTGTTCTTATAGAAGTTGTACAGCTCCTGTCATAGAAGAGCCAACAAGAAAGCTGGACACCTATGTGTGTGTTTCTGTTCTGGGTGAGAGGTTGGCCATGGGACCTTAAGGACCTTTTTAACACTGACATTCTGGTTCTATGAATGGAGAGTTCAGAGCCTAGTAGAGTAGGTCAGAGGACACTGCTAGAAGAAAGTAAGAGTTCACAGGATGACCTAGCTCAGTAAGGTGGAGGAATGGGTGAGGACAGCCTCTGCTGCCAAGAGGGACACTGAGGTGTGTGAAGCAAGGAGCCAGGCAGCCCATGTGGCCATGGAAGGCCACACAGCCCACAGCACATCCATACAGATGGCCTATGGGTGGTTGTGGGGCGGTGGTTTGCTGGTGAAGGTGCTGAGTTCAGGGGCGGAAGGGAGGGTAAACCCTAGGGGTGGTGGGGTGAGAAGTGGTAGCAGGGGACTGTGAGGAGTGGGACATCTGAGGCCTTAATGACTGAGGATTGAGAATTGAATTTGTTGCCTACAACTTTCCTATTTTATGTCCAGATCTCAAAGGTGTTGTGTCAGCCAAAAATGATATCCGAGTGGAGATTGTTCACAAGGAGCCTGCTTCTGGTCGGGAGACTGAAGAGCACCCTACCATCAAGCAGCTGATGGTAAGAATGCCGCCCAGTCCACCCTACCCTGAGACCCTGTACCCAGAAAGTTCTGGGACTGGAGGTTTCTCACTGCCTTCCGTACTTCCAAGAAGCAGAGTACCAGTCAAGATGAGCCCTTCCTGCCCCTAGAGGAGGCCAGGCACATGTTCTCAGCCAAAGAATATTGACTTGTGTGCCTGTCATGTTATGCGTGCTGATCTGGGAGACTCAAAGACATGTAAGATGCATACTCAACCTCAGAGAGCCTGACTGTTGAGAAGAGAGAGAACATATGCTTGAGTTGTTACATGTTGCTACCTATAATCCTAAGTATACCCTACACACACACACACACACACATATACACACACCAATATTACAAATATTCAGTACATTACCGTCACCTTCAAAAAAAGTCTGCAAGAAGTATAGGTTCCTCCTTGGGAACTGTATTGCCCACCAGAAGCAAACTTGAGCCAAGTGCCGGTGGCTCATTCCTGTAACTCTAGCTTCTTAGGAGGTCAAGATTGGGACAATCAAAGTTTGAGTCTAGCCTGTGCAAATAGCTCATGAGACCCCCCCATCTCCAAAACTAACTGGAGCAAAATGGCTGGACCTGTTGCTCAAGTGTTAGAGCACCTGCTTTATAAGTGTGAAGCCCTGAATTCAAATCCCCATCCCATCAAAAAGAAAAAGAGGAAGAGGAGGAAGAACAAGAAGAACAAGAACAAGAAGAAACTTTAAGACTTCTCCAACAACATTAAGCTTCCTCTTCCTCTTTCTGATCCCCCTTCATAGACCACACCACCCAGCTGTCCAGGCAAAAGCCTAAACAACTATGCCAGAAACATGGTTGTGATATATTGGAATAATGACAGCAAAGCAAGGAAAAATAACAAGCATGGACTTCTCTGAGCCTCAGTGACTTCAGCTATGAAATGGGTATGAAAGTACTAATATGCAGGGCTGGGGCATGGCTCAAATGATAGAGCACCTTGCCTACCAAGAGTGAGGCTCTGAGTTCAAACCTTAGTACTGCCAACAAACAAACAAAGGAACAAAACAACAGCAAAAAGAAAGTAATAATATAGAAACCTCCAAAAAACAAGATAGTGTTTGATGTCCTCAATGCAAAGGAACTAATGCAGAACCTTTAAAGCGACAGAGGTCAATAGGAGAAGGGGACCAGGAACTAGAGAAAAGGTTAGTTCAAGAAGAATTAACTTAGAATGTAACACATATGTAAAGGAAAGCAATGCAAGTAAACTCCCTGTATATCTATCCTATCTCAACTAGCAAAAACCCTTGGTCCTTCCTATTATTGCTTATATTCTCTCTACAACAAAAGTAGAGATAAGGGCAAAATAGTTTCTGCCTGGTAGCGAGGGGGTGGGGGGGGAGAGGGAGGGGGCAGCGGAAAGGGAGCGGGTGGGGGGAAGGGGGGAGAATAATAAAAAAAAAAAGAAAGTAATAATATACAGGGCCATGTTGAAGGTTAAATGGATGGCTATCTGAAGTGATTGGAGTCCAGGGAACTGTACAGTTGTCCCCTGGCATCTGCGGGGGAGTTGCTTCCAGAACACCTTGATGATGTCAAATAAAATGGCATAGTATTTACATGTAACCTACACACATTTTCCTGTAATCTTTAAGTCATCTCTAGATTACTTATAAAACCTAATCCAATGTAAATGCTGTGTAAATAGTTGTTGTACTGTATTGCTTAGGGACTAATAATGAGGGGAAAAGTCTGTATGTGTTCAGTGCAGATGTAATTTCTCCCCAAATACTTTCCATTCACTGTTGGTTGAATGCATAGGTGTGGAACCCAAGGTTAAGGAGGTCTGACTGTAAATTTTCAGTATATGTTAGCAATTATCCTTGCTCTAAAATCGCCCACTAGATGGTGAACAATTGCTGCCTTATTCACCCTTTGCAGAGACTCATAAATATTTGTTGAGTTGAACTGACTTTTCTCCCTGCTACTCTTTCTCCATTGAGTTTTCAGGGCCTGTCAATTCCACTTCAAAAATTGTCTCAAATGAGTGCTCCTGCCTCTCCTCCACTGTCACCCCCTTATCTCAGGCCTCTTCCTCTCTCCCCTGCATTAATGCAGCAGCCTCATTCTTGATCTCAGCATTTGCCACTTTTCTCAATCCACCCTCCAGAGCCCTGCAAGAAGGGTCTCTCTAACATGCAAATGATCCTGTAACTATCCTGCTAAGATCCCTCAGTGGCTGGAAAAAGCCCAGCTGCCCAGTGTGTCATCAGGCCCTTCACTGGGAGGTAGCTGCCAGGCTTTCCAGCTCTATTTTCCAGCCAACACATTTGGCTTTCCAGACACACCAAAGAATTTGTGGTTCCTGGCGGTGGAGTCTTTCATACCTTGCAGGCCTTATCTGTTGAATTTCACATTCTCCTGTAAGAATCAGCTCAAATGTCACCAACTCCAAGGTTTTCCCTGCTTGCCCGCTCTCCACAATACTGACGAGCTGTGTACACACTTTCTGTTCTCCCAAAACATTTTGCATGTTCCTCTTTCAAAGTGCATTGCTCTAATTACATGGAGCCTTCCCAATTATCCCAGAGCTCCTCCAGGGCAATGGTCACCATCCTGAATCTATGCTCATCTATTTCCCTTAGGGCCTAATACAGTGCCTGACACAGCAGTGTTTAATTTTACAAGGGAGAGAAATCACAGCCCAGACCTGAGAAGGAATGAATGTTCCTGTACTTAAACTTCATCAAGCCCATCTATCCTTAATGGGCCTTTGAATTCCCTCCCAATGGGACCTTCTGTTTGTCTCAGCCGATGGCCTACTCTCAGTATTCCAGAAAGAGCAGGGGGTATAATTCGGCAGAAGGGACTTGCTGAGGGCTCTGTGGGCAGCCTCCCCTTAAGGAGATCTTTGTTCCCCCATACCCTACACCCTCTGAGAAGGGGAACAACACTATTATCAAGGGGAAGCAGGCTTAGAAGTTGAATCTGGTTGCAAAAGATAAACTTCAACCTAGACAGAGCCAGAGAATTTACTAGAAAATAAAAAGAGCAGTATTTGTAGTGAGGAAGTAATAAGATGGAAGCACTTTGGTTGATTCTGCATAGCTCCAAAAACAGACAAGGAGATGGAATTACTGCAAAAGAGAAGAAACATCCTACTCAGTAGATGGGAGCTGGCCTAGACCATGCAATTATCAGAAGTGATTCATGGGAGGCATCCTATGTGTCAAGGGTCAAGCATCACAGTGGTTATTCAGATTACTTCATACATCTGTGTGCTGGGTATGGCTTGTTTTTCGTCTTATGCCTAATTATTACTCTGTGATTTAGAGATAAGCTACACCAGTCACTCATTCATTCAGCATAGACGCAACATCTGTATCAGGCACTGTGCTAGGTCTTGGCCAAAGAATTAATACATCTCATTCCAAAAGCATTTTGGTCAGTGACCACAGCATGCAAGACCCTGGGCCAGGTGTGGTGTGGGGATCCAAAGAGAGCACAGGTGATCCTCCCCTCAGGCTGTTTAGCACCTATTAAGGAGGACAACTTTCCAGAACATCTGAGTCATGGCTGAGATTAACAGATGTGAACCGTTTGTGTTAGTCACTTTCCTTTGCTATGACAAAATACCTGAAAAAATCAACCTCAAAGAGGAAAGACCCATTTTGTCTCATGGTTTCAACATATCTACAGGCACTTGGCCCTGTTGCCTTTGGGCCTGTGGCAAGGCAGAACATTATTGAAGAAGCCCATAGCAGAGAAGGCTACTCATCTCATGGTGGCCAAGAAACAAACGGGAAAGAGAATACGTGCCAGGATCCCAATGTCCCCTTCAAAGCCACATCAACTAGTGTGCCAATTTCCTTCTACTAGGTCCCACTTCCTAAAGGTTTCACTACTTTCCAATGGAGCCACAGGTTAGTGACCCAAACCTTCAACAGTCTTTGGGGGATATTTCAGATCCAAACCATAGCACCCATGTTGTCAGTACATGTAATTATTCCTTGTGATTCCTTCTTAAGGCCTTCATTAAGCCCTGGCCCAGGTCAATAGACTGCCCAAAAGAGCCCAACTTATTCTGAAAGACTGATGTTCTGCCATTATTTATTTCCAGGTTTATCTCCCTGATAAGCAGAGCTGTATCTTACTGTATCCTAATCTGTGTATCCCTGGTCCTTATCACAGTGTCTGGTCAGAAATTTTCAATAAATGTTCGGTGAATCGAATCAGCCAAGTGAAATCTCTGGAGACGAAGCCCTAGGCTAAAAGAAGAAAGTGTGGCCTTAGAAATCTGCCCTATGCCTCACCCACCCCTCTGTCTCTCAGGAGGGGGGTTCCAAGAATATCTATGAGATCCAGAACCTATCCAACTACTTCACCTGCCTTCTGAAGTCCTGGCAGTGAAGGGTTTGGGAGGGGCATAGATGACAATCTTTTGAGTTCATTTCTCTATCTCCTTGAAGGAGGGGGTGGTGAGCCCACTTTCTGTCCACTGAGTAGCCATTTTTGGATTGTAGATGGACCGAGGTGAATTCCAACAAGACTCAGTACTGAAGCAGCTGGAGGTCCTCAAAGAAGAGGAGAAAGAGTTTCAGAACCTAAAGGTAAGAGTAGTCAGGGATTATAAGATGCAGCACTTGCCCTTGAATCTGGACCACCGCTCTGATGGCCCCAATCCCATCCATACAGAGAACCTCAGAAAGCAGAAGCAAAAGGCCAGAGGCCAGCCTGCCGACCTGTTACTAATCATACCCTAAGGTGGGACACCCTCACTGAGATCACCTGCTTTCTTCACCCCAACACTGACAAGGCTCAGAGTTAAGGCTGAGTCCCCCTAATTCTCCTTCCCCACAGCCTTCTCAGAAATAGGTTTCAAAATTCATTACTCATGTTCTAGACAAACACAAGAAACAATTAAAGTTTGCTTTTCAAATCACCTTGCCTTGTCCTGACATAAACCTGGTCAGAAGCACCTTAACCTACTGTCAGTTGACCACCTGCCAGCCTCTCCTTTTGTCCCCAATCTCACTAACCCATCCTCACGTCCTGCTTGGTACCCTTCTGACCCTCATTCCTTCCCAGTAGTCTCCTTCCTCCTGCCCTTCCTGTGTGAGATAACACTGGTTAGCCTGGACCCCCACCACACCTAGTGAAGGCTTCCCAGTGATGTACTTCCTGCTCTTGCCCACCCAGGACCCCACCAATGGCTACTACAGTGTCAACACCTTCAAAGAGCACCACTCAACTCCAACCATCTCCCTGTCTAGCTGCCAGCCGGACCTGCGTCCTGCAGGCAAGCAGCGTGTGCCCACAGGCATGTCCTTCACCAACATCTACAGCACCCTGAGTGGCCAGGGCCGCCTCTACGACTACGGGCAGAGGTTCGTGTTGGGCATGGGCAGCTCATCCATCGAGCTTTGTGAGCGGGAGTTCCAGAGGGGCTCCCTCAGCGACAGCAGCTCCTTCCTGGACACACAGTGTGACAGCAGCGTCAGCAGCAGTGGCAAGCAGGATGGCTACGTGCAGTTTGACAAGGCCAGCAAGGCCTCCGCCTCCTCTTCCCACCACTCCCAGTCCTCTTCCCAGAACTCCGACCCCAGTCGACCCCTGCAGCGGAGGATGCAGACTCACGTCTGAGGATTACACACCATGGGTGGGGATGGGCCAGGGAGATTGGCAGGACATGTTCTGGTTCTCCAAGAACTAGGGCTACTTTGCAGAGGACCCCAGAACTGGCCACTTCCAGGATGGCTTGCAAGCGCCTCTGTTACCATATTCCTCCAAAGCTGTGATCAAGCACAAATCTGGTCCCCAGCTGCAGTGTGTCAGAGGTGGGTGGTGGGGAAATGGAAAGAGGATGCAGCTGAGTGCACTGTGCTTGGTGCCGGACACCCATGTCCCCATCCCTTTCCTGGAGGCTTCTCTATCACCTGCTCCTCCCACAGGCACTAGGCAGCTATAACTTTGCTTTCATAAAACTGCCGTCCACTCTCCGGTCTCCTACTGGGCTCCCCTCTTGCTGCCCGTAAGCCCTCCCCTGTGCCTGTGCTCCTTGACATCCCTGGGAGAAGGGGGAGTTCTTCCCAGCACTGAGCTGCTCCAGAGACCCCAGCTTCCCTGTTGTTCTTAACCCATGCCTTGGAGGTTGAAAAGCCAGAAATGGTCCTGGCCAAAGGAACATGCCACCCGGGAGCCCACCCCCCAATTTGTTTGGTGTTTTGTGTCCATATTCTTGCAGTTTTGTCTTCTGAACTTGGAGGTGGGACTGACCCAATCAGAGCCTGGTGTCCTGGAGGGGATGAGGAAAGGAAAGAGGAGAACGTGAATACCTGGGGAACACCTTGCCCAACACGCTCCTCGCCAGTCTGTGCAGTTCAGAACTTTCCCCCTCACCCCCTGCTTTGTGTACTCCCCTCCTCCCCACAGCACAGTCGGAGTTAATATAAGAGCTTCTCTGGTCAGGGTTCTTTGAAAAGTCATTGAAGAGTGTGTCCTGGGGGGGGCTTGGTTTGAGGGGGTTAGAGTCAGGTCTTTAAGAGGGTGGGACTCACCTTCTCAGCTGACAAAAGCAAGGAACAATGATCCTGTCTCAAGTAAGACTCCATGGGCAAGAGGGAAGTTTATCGGCACCTCTCCTTCCCCCATTCCTTAACCAAGAATAAATGTCAGGGCCATTACCCCAACAAGCCCACTCTGTTCTTTTGTTCCTACAGAGCCTCAGGAAGAACCCAAAAGCTCCAAGTATGCTTTGGGACCCCAAGATTCTTTGCCTTCCTCAGATTCAGTTTTCTCAGACAGGATACTGATTGGTCTGGTTGTGGTGGTAATAGAAACTACAGCCCTTTGTGGATGGGCCCCAGCCTGAGAACATGCAAAAGCAGTCCTCACCAATCCCAAGTCTTGCCAAATGCAGCTGAGGCAACATGGTACTGGACATTGACCAGATCATTCTACCTTTTTCCTTAGTCCCAAGCTGAGATGGGAGAGAAGCTCTCTTCACTTCTGGTTTGGGGATGCTCTCTTGAAAGAGTATAAATGACCCTAACACTCAAATATGGAACTCAAACAATGTTCTAATGTTGAACTTGCATGGTTGGAAAGCTCAATGACATCATGGCAGATGGGATGAATAAACAGGGTTATGTTACTACTAGCACAGGGACTGGGATTCAAATCAAGCTTTGAAGAACCCAAATTGTCCCTACGGCTATAGGGTCCTCATTGGCTCTAGACCCTTCTTCTCCAGACTTCCTGGAAGTTCTTAACCACCATGGAACTTCATCACCAAAGTCTCTGCTTCCCTCCATATACTGATTCCTTGGGTAGCCCCAATCTCAGCTTCTATGCAGAACCTCCATAGCTCCTCTACTCAGAGAAACTTTCTGCCTTGATTATGTTTCCTAGTGCTTCAAAATCCCCCAATTCCCGGATATCTTCCTTGGCGGACTCCAAACCTAAGGGAGTACAGACTGATCAGAAATGGAAGTGTGCCATTCTGGCCTGGCACAGAAGCCAGGATATTTGACCTTTGCCCTCTCTAAATTCATCTCAACAATCTCTCCCTCTCTCTTCCCAGATAAATGTCCCAACAGGTAACAAGCGTCCAAGTGTATTTGCAAAATGTTTTGGTGTGCTAGAGTAAGGAAAAGATGAATTTAGAGGGTCTGTCCATTAATTTCTCCAGGTTTTCCCCACATTGGAGATCAGTGCAATCTACCTCCTAATCTTACCCTTGGCCCCTGCCACACACATGCACAACTAATAGAGTGGAAGTACCTGTTCTTTCCTGGAACCCAGGATAATGACAGAACAAGCCAAAGAAGAGGAAATAAATCTTTCCTGTAGAACAGAATGAACCCTTCTCCCTCTTGTGCCTGGGCACTCCCAGAGGAAAAATGTGGACGGTCAGGGAAGATGAAGAGATAGCACCAGGGGGGCAACAGTCAAAGACTAGGCTGTACACTGCTCAACCCTCTGAGCTTTCCCCAATGCACAAATACAGCAAGATTTGCAGAAGAGACAGGTGGTCACAAGCACGGTCTTTGTGATAGAGGAGAGCACGACAGGGAAAAATTAAGTGGAATTGCAGGCCTCTGAAGCAGTGAGAAGGATGGGGGCATGCAGAGGGAAGCCCTGAGTTTCTCTGTAGGTGGTTTCACATTTAATGAAATGAGTGTGCTACATTTAAAATAGCATTTAATCCTCACAATTCTACAAAGTACCACCATGTTTTACCAGTGTGGGAGTGAGGTTTAAAGTAGCCAAAAGACTTGTGCAAGATCAGAGTTAATAAGTGGCAAACGTGAGATTTAAACCACACGATTTCCACTACAAGATGTTTCCGTTCCCATGGTGCAAACTCAGAGCCATACTTGTTCTAGAGTATGGATGGAAGTGGCTAACAGGAAAGACCATCTGCTGCTCTGGGGCAGGCCAGACAAGGACAAGCCTCCGCTCCATTATGAAGGCAGGAATGCATCCTCCACCTTAAGTCCCCAAATGACCTGGAAAGACCACAACTCCCTGGGAAACAAAGCTATTCTGTGTATCCACTCACCCCCACCCCACCAAGGCCAGGATCCAGTTTTCTGATAGCTTTAACTTCATTATTGGCTCAGAACCACTGGACAGGAGCCCAGTTTCTAATTCTCAGGCTTGCTATCAGTCTGCCAAAGGCCAGGGTTATTTCCACCACCTCTTCAACTTTCATGGAATAGGAAGTGTTCTCACATGAAGAACTAAAATGCCACATCAAATCCATTTCTGACGATGCCTATTTAAACATATCTTATAAAGCAATAGTCCTGCAAGCCACCTTTGAGTTTCTGGAATGGAAAGAACCTAGGGAAATGAAAACAAACACGATGCAGTCCTTGGGAGATTTCTCAGAACAGGAGAAAAGGAGTCAACAGGAAATTCTTCCTTACTTCCTGTTGGGGAGTGATATATGCTGATTATGACATTTGCTGTTATGGAGTTGGAACTGGAAGTGCACTCATGCGATCCATGAGTTTGATTAGCCCTTTCGAGGTATGTATATGGTTTGTGATGTCACCAGGAAAAAAAAAAAAGACAAAGGAGACTCTTGTCATTGGTGTCTTCTCTATCAACTTTCCCTATAAAACAAACTCTTTACTCCCTGCACACACACCTCTCTCCCTCCCCAGTGCTAAGGATGGAACCCAGGGCCTCCAGCATGCTAGCCAAGAGCTCTACCACTGAGCCACACTCCCAGCCCTTAAACTCTTTATTTAAATAAAGCATAGCTATTTAACAATAATTAGTCTTAATTAATGTATAGATTTTTATTTAAAATGCCACTTGGTATGCCTATTTAAAGAAACAAACATTTAGACACAGCCCAGTAACATTAATACCAAATCTTGAATTTTCCTTCCCCTTTAAAAAGGTCTTCTGAAAGTCTCTTATCTGAGTTGGTTTTAGAAACTGTAACTGCATACCAGCTATTTGCAGCTCCAGCATCAAAACTAGCAACAATCTCTGGTAGTCACTGATAAAGAGCTCTCCTCTGATGTCTGCTTATCATTTCCAGGAAGCCTCCAACCATCTTTTCCCCAGCCCCCTATATTTCACTCTCCTAACCAGGTCAGAAACTGGGAAAAATAAGAAAACCTGAAGCTACTCTTCTTCCTACAAATAAGGATTGTTTCCCTCGATGAGGACATATTTGCTGTGAGACCATCAATTCTTTCCCTTGATAATTGCTATTCTTCCTTGATTCACCTCTCCTCATCTCTAATGCTAGGTCTTTGACATACACTGCAAGCTTTCATTACTACAAGCCCTGTAGTTTTATACGACCACACCCTCCTCTTAAAAGGCCTTTTGTGAGGGGATGCAGGTGGAACTCAGGGGCAAAGTGCTTGCCTAGCATGTGCAAGGCCTTGGATTTGATCCCCAGCACTGCAAAAATAAATAAATACATAAACAAATAAAGAGCCTTTGTGGGCATACATCATTCACAAGATAAGCCACTGAACTGTGGTCTACATACCTGGCTTTATATTTACATTACTCTCCCGGTGCTGGAGACTAAATCCAGGGCTTCATACATGTTAAGCACTTACCCTGCCACTTAGCTACATTCCCAGCCATCCTGGCTAATATTTATGACTCTGTCATTATCTGCCTGCCAATCCCTATTCCCAGTGCATTTCTTGGGGACAGTTGACACAACCACTGAGTCCATTCAGTCCTTGTTCCTGGGACATCCTCAACCCCTGAATCAAGAGTGTCCCTTGAGCTCCCGCTGGGGAACACCAGACCAGCATAAGCATTTCCTTCCGCTGTTCCTTAACCTTACAGCCCTTGGCAATATCTTGGAATGTAATGAGAACATGCAAAGAATGCTCTTTTATAGTTATGCTTTCTGTGGTGAATCTAAAGTTTTAACATTCAAAAAGTTGGTAGGCAAGCTGCCAGGAAGCCAGATCCTCATTGAGAGAACTGGTTACACAGAGCTTCTCTGAAACTAATTCCCAACTATGCAAGAGGAAAAGTCCTACTCAAGATAGGAACTGAATTTAGGAAGGGATTCATCCCCTGAAAGTCAACTCCATCTAGGCAAAGACGAGATCAAGGGAACTATGTTCAATGTGGTTACCACAGTCACCACATTTGCATGGATATGTAAGGGCCAGGGTTTTGTGGCCTGAGCACTAGAAATTGTATTTTTGACACTAACAGGCATTGCACGTTCCAGAAATACTGAAAGAAGGCGGCAACAGAGATAAAGGGCTATAGCTAAGGATCTAGGACTTCTACAGCAGGACTTTCAGACTTTTAATTAAAGTTTCTCTATTGCTCCTGCCACGCAAGGGCTTCATCAGCACAAATAAATCCACAGAGAAAAAATGAGCACAGAACTGCAGACCTTCCCTCCCAGGCTCCAACTTGTACTTTAGCAGCTCTCTGCTTAGTAAAGGGAAAAATCCATTTGTAAGTAAATGAAGAAGTATTAAAGTTCGCGATGTATGTAAATAGTGTTTCGGAAGCCTCAGAATAATAGATGGTTCTTGAATAGTCTAGTTCAGTAATTCCAACTTCGGTCCCCTAGGGTTGTTTCAACAGCTGGGCTTTCTCTCATTCTTTCCACCCAACTCCACCCTCCAAATCCTGTAAGATACTGGAGAAGAAGCCATGCCTCTATTGAGGAGTGATGCGCTTTACATTGTTAGTTTTCCCTGGGAACCTGACATGGGGCAAGAAACAGCACCTGCTTCCCAGAGTTCAAGTTTCCCCAAACACTTCTGCTGAACCCTCCTGACTAGCCCTTTTGGCACTGTGGGGTCTCCCAGATGCTCTCCACTCTGTTTTTTCTTAAAATGAAGGAAAATGAAGTGGAGCCTTCCAGGACATCTGGGCGTCTTCCAAAGCTGTCATCTATTGAGTCTCAAAAGTTTCTCTCTTCACTTTATTTCTTAGGTACAGAATTCCAAAGATCTCTAAGTGAGATTTGTTCACTGAGAAAAAACTGAACAGGAAAACTAGATTAACTACAGACACACACAGATGTTCCTCAACTTGTGAAGGAGTTCTATCCTGACACATTTCTTGTAAATAGAAAATATCAAAGTCAAAAATGTATTTAATTTCAGGCACAGTGGCTCACTCCTGTAATCCCAGCTACTAGGGAGGTAGAAATCAGGAGGAT